AAAAAAAAAAAACTTTCTATTACATTTTGAAACTCCCTGAATGACTCCTTCAGTTTTTTAACCTCTGTTATATAGTTTCTAATTTTGTTATGTCTTTCATTCATGTCTTGGGTTAATTTTTGGATTTCCTTCTAGTGGTTTTCCACTTTCCCTTCAATTTCTTTCATTTTTCCCATTCACACTCTTAATTCTCTGTCACTTCCATGAGTCCTTTTTAGATGGGTGGCTGCGTTGTGGTAGCTGCATAGTAAATCTTTAGAAGAGTGATGTGCTCCTGTTTTTTGTGTTCCCAGAATTTTTTTGTTGATTCCTTCTCATGTGGGATTTTTTCTTCTTTATTTCCTTCCTCTACTTATTCTCTTGCTTCCTAGTTCCCTTCAATCTTCTTTGTCTCTGTGCTTTGATGTTGAAGTGGCCTTTAGGAACAGGGACAAGAGGCAGAGAAAAGAGAATGAAAAAGTAGAAGAAAAAATGAAAAAATAGACTGGTGCAGTGGCCCACACCAGCAATCCTGGCACTCTGGTAGGGTGAGGAGGGAGGCTCAACCCAGCCCAGGAGTCTGAGACAAGCTTGAGCAACAACAAACCCCCAAAATAGAAAAAAATCATCCAATATTGGCAGGGACCGCAGTCCTAGCCACTCTGAGGGCCAAAGCAGGAGGGTCCCTTAAAACCAGAGGTTTTAAACCTGCTGTGAGCCTGGCCAATATCACAGCACTCTAGTTCAGGCCGTAGAGCAAGATTCTGTCCAAAATAAAAGTCTCGGTTGTCCAGGAGATTTATGAGAGAAAGATGAGAAAAATAACAAAAGAAAAGAAAAAGGAAAAGAAAACAAAAAATTGAGTATTAAAAAATGTATTGTGTGGGCTCAGTGCCCATAGCAGAGTCATTAGGGCACCAGCCATATACACCAAGGCTGGCAGGTTTAAACCCTACCTAGGCCAGCTAAACAACAATGACAACTACAAAAAAAAAAACAGCTGGGCGTTGTGGCGGGCACCTATAGTCCCAGCTACTTGGGAGGCTGAGGCAAGAGAATCACTTAAGCAAGCCTAAGAGTTTGAAGGTTGCTGTGAGCTGTGACACCACCACACTCTACTTGAGATTCTGTCTCAAAAAAAATTATATATTTATATAGATAGATAGATAAATAGTGTGAACACCAGTGGATGCTCTATGATAAGGGGAAAAAAAGTAACGCTACATAGAGCTCCTGGACAAAGGAAAAAAACTAGGTCTGTTTGTGGATATAGCAGAAAGTTACTTCCTACTTATAATGGACACCTGGTCTTGTTTTCCTGATTTTTTTATTTTATTCTGGGCCTAGGAGCTGTAGAAGAGTTAAATCCCAGGAGGGGAAGTGGAGCTACTGTCCTGAAGCTTACCCCAGACTTTCTGAGGGACACCCCTAAGCTATCCAACTAGTACCTAGTGGGTACAAGAGTTTCTGTGTGGGAGGCAGGATCTCCCATCTCCCAGTTTGGCCCACATCTCTGTGGGAATCAGGCCAGACACTCTTGTCCTATCCTAGAGGTCAGGGTCAAAGCCTGTCCACAGTGGGACATTTTGTTCTCCTGGCTCTGCCCTATGTGCTGCTACCCAAATAATAGGCATAATTAGACCTAAGCTGTTAGAACTCACAGGTGGCAGGGGTAAATTCCTCAAGGAAATGCTTCTCAGAAACAATCTCCTGAAGGAGCACGTTGAGGCGAACTGCCATGTCTTGAGCAAAGGGAGTTTATCTCCTACACAGGTGTAGAACACAAATGTCTTAATGCTGGAATTGGGTAAATGAGGTGAAGCCTATGTTGATTAGCAGGATGTAAGCACTCCAATTTGTACAAATAATCAACACATTGAATCCCATAATGGCATAAATGTATTTAGGATCGATGTACAAATGACTTAATTTAAAAAAAGCATTACCCCTATTATTAGGAATAAACTAATAACCACCTCATTCTTAGCATGTATTACAATCATTATGTATACATGAATACACATGCAGAAATACAGACATTGCATGGTGACTAAGCAATTTTGGAATAAATCCAGACTTAAGTCACAGCATACATAAATCATTTATATCTTAACTGCGCATTTATACCTGAACAAATTTTCTTTAAGCATACTAGTAATCCAAATGATGTAATAAAAAGTCTGATTGCATTATTTTGTTATTTTGGAATTACATGTGAGAACATAGAAGCTAACTGCTTCACCTATTTTAACACTACTAATTTTCTGAATCACATTGTAAGAGTACATGTATAGAAATTTAAAAGATCATAAATTTCCTAGGAGGAGACATTATTTAGTCTGTCATTGGCATATATTTGCAAAACATTTTAACACTGCAGACATTCAAAGTTTGAAGATTGGGCACAGGAAAAGGTTTACACTCCCCTACAGTGATGCTGGTGTACTTCCACCAAGGCTTCTTAGTGACACCAATCAATTGGAGGTAGAAGTTGATCAGTGAATTGCCTGACATCCATCATTTCCTGCTGACATAAACTGCGCATCGTGCCTTCATGGGTTTTAAAGTTTACATTGGCTGGATTTACCAATGTTTTTAGTTTTTCAGCAGTAAGAGAACCAAACCTCAGGGGAACCAGAGGGTCGCAATCTTCATGACACTGAAGAGTGGAAATATCTGTGTTAGCGCCACTGATAGGACCCTGAAATGAAGCCCGAAGTGGAAGCCAGCAACTGAGTGCAGTGACACCTGCCAGCTTCTGCTGGGTGGTGAGAGCAGTGTATAAAGACAAAGTTCCAGCCACTCCACCTGTGGCTCAAGGAGTAGGGTGTAGGAGATAGGATCCCTATGTTCAAGACATGGCAGTTCGCCTCAATGTGCTCCCTCCGGAGATTGTTTTTGTGAAGCATTTCCTCGTGGATCTGAGCTTCTACACCTGCCTATTGATGTACAGGAATGAGTAGAGTGACTCTCCCTAGGGGGTGTGGAGAAACAGCCGAGGTGTTAGCTGGGGGTGGACAGACCGGTCTTGGAGCATTGGGTTCTATTCTCTGCCTTCCTCCTTCATTAGCATTATAAAGTGTAACTTTACCTTGGGTGAGCGAGGACCAACAGCCAGGCTCCAAAATGTTTTACTCTAAACAAAATCAATTGTATATGCGTTCCTCAACCTTCACACTAAATTGTAATCTTAAATGGTTGCTTCTTCATGTTACTTGACTTCTTTGTATATGTGTTAAATTCTTACTAAATGTTGGAAAGTATATAAGATAATCAGTAAAGTTTAGCGGGGCCACCGACCAGAGCGAGTCCCGGTCTCCCTTGAAGATTCATTCCGTCTGCAGTTCTTTCCCCTGCGTCACCAGATCAGAAGCTCCAAGGAACACACAACAACAGTAGGGCGCCAGCCATATGCTGGAGGTGGCAGGTTCAAACCCAGCCTCAGCCAAAAA